ATTGCTTTCGGGATTCAATCGTTTTTTGAACTTCTCTCTCGATAGATTCCAACTTGATGGCAAGGAACTTTTCTGAGAAGTAAAACTTTCTGTCAAATCTGCTTGTTTCGGTAAGTACATTGATAAATATAGGGACTGCGTTATTTCCGGCGCATACACATCCATCGGCTTAAGAGGAATTAAAATATCGAAAAAAATAAATCTAAATAAAAAAAAATAAATTCGAGGGCATCATTTACCACGAAGACATATTGAAATTCATATTCATTCTTGACGGCTCTTAATTCGCTTTCCTCTTCGAGAGCCCAACACGGAAAGGGAAAAGCCAAGAGGCTTTGAGTAGATTGTTTTACGATGTTTGAAGTTCTAACGAACATTCGCCTGTCGACTTCGAAGGAAATTTAAAGGAGGGTTGACAAACATCCTACAGTTCATAATAAGTTCTTTCGACATTGAGACCATTTGATGAAAAAGCTCTGGCGGAGCCCATTACGAGAACAAATTTTCTTCTTACGTCATCATGCAGTATATGCCGTCTCAAAATCGCTATGCGTTTCGTATCGCGAACCATTCTTTACCAGAATAAAGAACAATTTAAACGAATCACTGAGTGGTTTATCAAAATTTTAATTTTTTTTTTCATTGCAAAATGTCTTGGCTACACCGATGCAAAGTTATGTCGCGGAGTTTTGAAAGATTTCGTGACAATTGAAGTAAAAAATGAGCTGATATGGATGGAAAAAATTAAAAAAAAAGTTTCTTCTTGGCGACCTTGAGAACCTAATAAATTATGTGACATCCAACCTGGATGTTTCCAGTTATATCCGAATGTCAAGGTAGAACAAGACACAGCTGGTCGTCACTGTTCGCTGAATGAAAGCGAATTTCATCTTATTTTCTTCAAGCCAAGCGCGCTTGAATTTTCATGATGGGAAATATTGTCGCTTAAACTAGTATTTATCTTGGTGTAAACAAGTACAAGTAACTTGAGATACATTAATATAGAGCTGTCTTCTTAACCGGTCGATAAATAAACAATAAACCTGGTTGCATTCTAATTTTGAAGCGACTAGTTTCAATTTGCAAAATCCATCTAAAAGAGAGGCCTTCCCCCCTAAAAAGAAAATCCTGAAGTATCGAGAAGTTTAAACCGTCCCCAAATACTGTTTAGCAGGATTTCCCAATAACATAAGCATATCAATGAAGATTACCATGTAACGGCCACTATATCAAATTTCAATTCCATGCTCAACACATGTATGAAAAGCATTTGACTGCAAAGGGTGAAACTTGGTCCTATGAGAGCACTGAGTATACCGAAAAGAGCGAAGGAAAACTGTTTCCAGCCACCTTGTTAAAAACTTGTTTCATTCGAGAATAACAAAGCCCAAAATGGCAGAATACCTTCGATATGAATGTAGTTCTAACTCCGGGTGAACTAAGATTATTCGCAGATGAAGCAACAATGCAAGATATTTTACCTCACTTTCGAGCGGAAAGAAGCTGCAACTGGAAATAGTGGTGCTTTCGAAGGTCATATATTGCATTTGAATATTTGTGAATAAAGTGATGCCAAATAATTCTTCTCCTTGACTAGATCGTGTGAAAGCCCTATACAAGTCGTGCCTTGCACAATTCAAACCGGAAGTAATTGTAGATTAATTGGCCTGCGGCGGAAATAATATTTCACAACATCTTTGGTCACAGCGACTGTGTCATGTTTGTCACGCTTCTCTGACAGAGCAAGAAATGGTAAAGAATTCCAGAACAATATGGTATTCTCATTCAAAACATAAATGGCATTGACACTGCATCACTCGTTTTTAGCCTAGTCCCCTTTGCTGCCGTTGCTTAGTTCCCTCTCTCTGACAGAGCATGTCAGAGCCTAAACAACAGCTGCCAGAGATGCATTCGATTTTAATGAGCAAGCTGATATGTTTTCTTTGGAAACAATACTATGTGCACAGCTCTATTTCCATGTTTCTTTTTTATCAATAGATGAGTTCAGATAAAACTATTGTGGAAAAAAACTTCAAGATTAATGCAATTTACTTCCAATGTTAACAAAGACAACGGTCGCTAGCTCGTCTACGTTGGCATGCTTTCAAATCGGCGTCCTGCAAAAGACGTCTAAACTTTCTAATGTTCCTGAAAATGGGGAAGAAAATCGCCAATATTCAGGACCTATACTCCGGAAATTTTAAATGCGTTCCTCCCATTTTAATAACAGTGCTGTTTCATTCTGTTCTCTGTCTCTCTCTTTAGGTCACAGTATCTTTTATAACCAAACCAGGGAAGAAGAGGATGCAAGATCAGCTCTGGTATAATGTTACTTTATCACTAATAGCTTAATAACAATAAAAACAACGAAAACAACGTAAGCTACCTCATTTTCACATTCCCCATAAGCATCCGCCATATCCGTAGTCATCCGGTCTTACAGACACCCGGTATTTATTTCATCATTCACTTTAAACTTAACGTAATTTGTTGGAGATTTCATTCAACTTTAGAGGGGATTCAAGAAGAGTACATATCATCATAATTCACAATTAGGAGGATTCCTCGATAAATCGAGAAAATTCCCGCAAAGGAAGTAAACGGTAAACTTCAACGCATAAAAAGTTTATATTCAATTTCAAAGAAATCTATGGGTAAATTGTAAGTCGAAATGCAGTTAACCCTTTAGTTCCCAAGATCGTATTAGTAATTCTCCTTACTGCCTGACATACAATTCATATGACGTCAATTTGGAGAATTTGGTATTGGATCAACTAATAATCCTCTAAATGATGTTTTACTTTATTTTTCATCACTTCTTTGCTTGATATTGTATTGATATTGTAAGGAGATATTCTCTCTTGGTCACTCATGGGAGGTAACCTTCTTTTGTTTCAATACAAAATAGCGGGGAAAGTGAATACGATTGATGGTAGATGGTATATAGCAAATAATTGCTATTCCGCCATGCCTTCGATCTCTTTAGTTTCCACTTTTAACTGGTGGCTGAGACAGAATTCAGACGTGTCAAAGCTTGATTCAAGTCAACGGAGGTGTTTCAATAAGTTAATGGATAAAATTAAGTAGTCTAAGAACCATCACAGTCACCCAGTTAGAAAAAAGAGGCACAAAATATACTAATAGACGTTTATCACGTATCTTTCGGAAAGAGCGGTTTTGATGAATATCTTAGAGTTCTCTGAACGTACGAGGCTAAATATCTGTATGTCATCATCTGTCACAAATGCAAATAATTTTTGTTTGATCAAATAAGTTGATTGTCACACTTTAAAACGAATTCTAATGATTGTTTGGTTCCAAATTGACGACAAGATGTAACTCAGCCCGATTGCTCTCTAATTTTCTTTGACGCAATGTTGAAGTGATCTGTGGTTATGCATGCCTCATCTTGAGGCGCGTATTTTGCTCGAGTCATTAAGTGTGTTTCCTTAACTTCAACCGACGCCATTCAAAGTGCTATTTACGCGAAGCTCTTTCTGTGCTTTATCAAGTGAACTGGGTTCCAAGGGCCATAAATAACAGAGACAAAAATGCAGGACTAAAATGTGAGGCTAGCCTAATGTTTAAAAATTGGACCGTAACGTCATGTTTCAAAAATTCCAAAAATTCAGTTTTCAAAAGTTAGACGTTACGATGTGTCAGTTACATCCTTATGGAAGTGAAAATGAAATGTATGATATGTTTTTAATTTTCGATGTGTTTTAACGACAGAAAATACCACAATGGAGTATACCAAAGATCAACTGAACTACTTTCGAATATGTTACATCATCAATTGTATTGCGGAAGGATTAAGACAAGTCTTCATACGAGAATGGAATTCCAATTACAAAGTGAGCCTGGGTGAATGGGAAGACACCGCACAGAATGGTCAGGACTTCTACAACAACGAATCCAAGAAGCCGATTTATAGGATAAATCGTGTTCATCTGAGATTAATAAAGAAAGGGAAAACAAAAGAATGGGACTGTAGTTGCTTATTTTTCGCTATTTTGTTCTCGTATAGCATTGGTTCAACAATTAGCACAACCACCAGAAAAGATATCGAGGATCTTCGTCAAGTCAGAAATGATATTGCCCATATCAGTGAAGCAACTCTTACCGACACGCAGTTTCAGAATCACGTGGGAATAGTTTTAAACGCTTTTAAGTCCTTAAGTCTTCCAATCTCTGACATCGAAACGGTTAAAAATCAGAAAACTTTTCCTACAGCAGAAGTCAACGGCCTAAAGGCACAGGCAGCAAATCTCGAGACAAAATTACAAACAGCGAAGTCCGATTTCCAAGACGTTAAAGACGCAATCAAAGCGAAAGAGGACGAAAATCTGACGCTTACCTCTGAGTTAAAAGAAGCGAAAGAGCAAATGAAATGTCTAACAGAAGAAATTAATCTCAAGGTCGAGTCTTTCTGTCTTCTCACATCTAACCCACCCCACAAAATCATCCTGCGGAGGACGGAAGTCTCAAAAATCATAGGAAAAATGAAAGCACTTGAAGAAAGATCTAATGGAGCAGTTAGTACCATTTATCTATCGGGAATGCCAGGATGCGGAAAAAGTCAAATTGCCAGACAGACTGGAGAACAGTTCTTCACAATGAAATCCGGCAAAAGTAAAAACTTAACATTTGTTGCAACCCTAAATGCTGAAAGTCTCGAGACTCTTCGTGATTCGTACTTCTCTTTAGCCAAAAAACTGGGAGTTTCGGAGTATGCTATAAGTAAGCTGGCTATTGCAGAGCTGGAGAGCGCAGATGAAATAATTCGACATTTACAGCGTTTAATCAGACAGAATACTAATCTTTTCTACAGCTGGTTAATGATTGCTGATAACGTAGAGGACTTACTCTTGGTCCGTAGCTTTCTTCCCCAGACTGGTTGTAAAGACTGGGGTCGCGGTCAGGTTCTGATTACAACTCAAGATGCCAGTGCCATCCCAACAAGTGCCCCTCATACCTATCACGAGTTATTGAGCGCAGGCATGCGGCGGGACGATGCATTACAGCTCTTAAAAGAAGTATCGCAAATCGTTTTCAGTCATGAACTAGCTGAAGAGGTTCTTGAGGTTCTTGAGTTTCAGCCACTCGCTTTAGCAGCTGCTGCATTTTACGTCAATACTGTTGTAAAACATGGCTCCCCAAACTACACATGGAAGAATTATCTGGAAGTCTGTTCTCAAGGTGACCGTGAAAGTACAGAAAAACGTCTTGCCATGGAAAGCGAAGCGTACTCCAAGACAATGACCACCTCTATAAAAATGGCACTAAAAACGTTTTCGGACAGAGAGGACGTTCTACGGCAGACATTCCTCCTCTTTTCGCTAATTGCTTCAGACCCTCTTCCCATAGAAGTCGCTGTTGACTTTGTCAGAGCTCGAACCTCAGGCAACACAGACGAGCTAATCAGAGCGAAGATTATAAAATCCACCTTGATTACTTGTTTGTACAATGAAGACAGGTCTTCAGGATATTTAAAGGTACCAACCACGGTATATAAAATCCTCAAGGAAACTTCGACTTCTTCTTTTTCGGAAAGAGTTCCCAGCATATGTCACGCTATTAGTGCTTTTCACTCTCTAATTGAATCAGAGCGAGGTAATTTGTTCCAAAGTCCACAAGTCTGTGTCAAACTCCGAAGAGTTACAGCCCACAGTAAATGCTTACATAACATTCTCACCGCTACGTTTCCAGATAAATTTACTTGGAAGAAACGACTAACATCCTTTATTACTCTGAACACGATCATTTTGTGGCTTTCGGGAACAGCTGCTGTTTGTTGTGACCTGAGTAACCCTTCAGACGCAAATCTGTTTTCTACATCTGCTTGTGAACTAGCTGTATATAGTGACGGCTTGGTGAGGGCAAAAGCACTCACTGTACACGGCAGAGTGTTAATGATGTCATGTAACCATAAAATTTCCAATCAAGTCTTTGAAAGAGCTATCGAGATTTACAAAATAAGTGATGGAGTAGAACACCCAAAGCTAAGTCATTGCGCAAGGCACATTGAAGTGCTAGAATACTTTGAGAAGGCTCTGGCCATCAGGAAAAAGACTTTAGGTGAGGAACATACTGATGTAGCAGAAAGTCATAACAACTTGGGGGTTGTTTACAGTCACCTTGCAGAGTACAATGAAGCCAAAGAACACTACGAGAAAGCACTATTCATCTGGAAAAAGATTTACGGCGAGGAACATGCTGATGTAGCGGCAAGTTATAACAACCTGGGAGTTGTTTACGGTAACCTCGGAAAGTACAGTGAGGCAAAAGAATACCTCGACAAAGCATTGATCATCAGGAAAAAGATTAACAAGGAGGAAGATGCTCATGTAGCATCAAGTTATAATAACTTGGGAACTGTTTTCAGTCATCGCGGAAAGTACAGTAAGGCAAAGGAATTATACGAGAAAGCACTGTTCATCTTGAAAAAGATTTATTATGTGGGACATAAGCTTGTGGCGACAATTTACCACAACTTAGGAATTGTTTGCAGTCAACTCGGAGAGTACTTTAAAGCAAAAAATTATTTCAAGAAAGCACGGGTCATTATGAAAAAGTCTTCCGATGAGGTACATTCTACTGAAGCGACGAGTTCCATCAACCCTGGAAATATTGACAATCGCCTTAGAAGTGTAATGAATACAAAGTACTCAAAGAGAAAGCACTGACCTTTAAGTACGAGATTTACGACAAGGAACATACTAGGATAGTAAACGCTTACTGTAGTCTAAGAGCTGTTTATAGTAACCTTGACATTTCTATGTATATAGTCGCGGAAAGGCCCTGATTATTAAGCTAGAGGAGATTAATCAATAGCGATGAACATTTTGATACAATAAGTTTTCGCAAGAGGAAATCTGTCAAGCAATCTGGACCTGATAGTTTCCTTCAAGTTCGGCTTGGGAGAGTTCCAACTTTGCCTTGACAACACTTGTTATCAACTATCAGGCTATAAGTAATTTTTAATAACACTTAACACACTTTGATGCTGCTTTCTTAATTGCATGCGCCAGAGTATAGTTGGGGTGGTTTGAGTCAAGGGGTGATTTTCCAATTGATTCTCTTATATAAATCATGCATGTGGTAATATTGCTAATGGGTACAACGAGACACTAACATGTCTCAAAAGTCCTTCATCATCCTTAAATTGAATTTGAAAATGCGTATTGAAGTCATTGGGGCATCACCAGTTTGAATTCGTTTTTTGATGATTTACCGGAGTAGATGGTAGTTCTTCTCATTTAATCTGCTTAGATTTATAGGAAAGAGCTAGCCTTAGAGAGTGTATGGAAATGTGGGGAAGTGTTGAAAGGCTGTTACCTTGTACTTCTCATTTTTTTGGACATATATTTTTAAATTATCGCCTAAAATTTGTGTTTCCTCATTAGCCATTACACGCAAATAAAATTAACAATAAATGGTGCGGAAACCTACGGAAAACCAATGTGGCTAGCAGATTAGGTTTATTCAAAAGAAAAGCAGGATGATTAATAAGGACAGCATAGGATAATAACATTTTCAGACGATATACTGGGAGGAGAGAATCACGTTTCGCTAGGTTGTACTTGATTACTTGCTCATGTCACGCATCGCTTTTTGTTAATTCTCATGACTGATAATTTGCGTAATTTCGGATCCACTTGTATACAAGTTTCAGTATGTAATCAGTTAGAGCATGGTTCGTCCGGATTTTTTCATATTATGAGTATGTGCTTATAAATTGTGAGTGAAATGTGAATTCTTTTGTTAACCGTGGAAAGTTGCAAGGTTTAGAGTACAGTTTGCCTTCAGCCGACCAAAAAGGGCCAACTTTACCGCTTACCATCTTCGAAAGAAGCTAAACGTCAATCGTCAAATTATTTTCAGTGAAAGAGTGCGAGCTCTGAAAAGAGCCTCCGACCGCGAACAGTTTACCTTCATCATGAGTTAACTTCGACAGCAGATTCACATCACGGTTTTAAAATTCGCGCCAATTATTGTGAATAATTTTACAAGAGAACGAGTTTCTGTAATAGCCATTGTTTAGATTGACAGGTGTATTGTTGTATTCATGGTTGGGCCGAAGACAATGGCTCCCTAGCTAAAAACGAGCCATTTTGAACGCAACTTCGACTGAAAAAATTTTTAAACAGGTTCCTGTCAGCCATTTTTCGCAATCAAAACGTAATCTGCCATTTACCGTGCGGTGATATTTTATTTGGAGGGTAGTAAGAGTTTTCAGAAAATTGCTCTCGAAAATGACTTTCATACTAAAAATAACCGAATTTTGTGCACATGAATAATTCTTCTACTTCGTAAATTTCCTTCATTTTAGATGCAAATTGTAGATATATCTTTAATCTTCGAAGAAGCGTGCGCCGATTTAAAAGTTAGCACTTTTAAAAATTCGAAAAAGTTACTGAATTTTTCTGAAGGTTAGTGGGCCAATCCTAGCTCATTTTCATCTCATTTGGGGCTCATGAAAGCGAGGTCGCGCTCAAATTTGCCGCTTCATCGGTTGTGAATAATTATAACGATGACCGCGAATTCTGCCCGATGTGGTTGTCAATGAAACGGCTGCGAATCTTCTTTTTCTCTACTGAACCTCTATTATAATTAGTGCGCCCGCGTTTTTCATTCTTTTTCAAGCACGGCAACCAAGAGTATATTACAAGCTGCTCGTCACGGATATCCCTGACTCTCGCCTTATGTACTTCCTTTTTTGTCTTTGCCACATGAATAAGAAATATCTGAAATACCTCCCTTCTCCTCCCCCCTACCTACACCATAACTCACGAGGAGCTTTGTAAATCTAGTTCGAACCGGAAGTAAAGAAATCAGTGGCTCTTCGATGGTGGATGACAGTTAAAAGGATAAATACCTGCTCGGTGAATTGACAAAAAATGTATAGATTAAACCATTTCACAATACACATTGTACTTCTCCTGTTTAATGAGAGGTTTGAGGTGATATCGACTATGAAAGCAGTGCAGGGATTCCGCCACTTAAGCTTGAACAGGATCATAATTCTCCTCCCTACCCTATCTTACCGTAAAATTGCACCTATGCTCCTGATCCTGAAAAAAACGGTCTTGGGGGGATTGCCAAATAAAAGGTAGAAGTCTTCCTCTATCATTGTCTTATTCAGGCATTTACAAAAATTTTGACAGTTGCGGCCCTTTATTGACAATCATTCGATTATCGTTAACTGATGCTTATAGGCTCATCTATTTGTATACAATGATATTGCGTTCGATTATATACTCCCTCGATATAAGCCCTCCTCTGGCTTTCCTTGTTTCGAGAGATACTTTCGTACTTCAAACAGAAAATTTGAAAAAATTACTATTAACTCCATGTGTACCAATACGTTTATATACTCTCTTGATATATACCTCAAATTTTAATTCTGTTTCAAATGTGATGAAATGAATTCGATTTATTGTCATCGGGCAGAATGTCATTTGTTCAAAACTATTGATCTGTAATATTGGCGGCGAAGCGTACACTGGTTGATCTTTATTGGACGAGATGTATCGTTATGTATTGAGACTATCCAATACCATTCAAGACTAAGTTGCTCCAAAAACCTGACAAAACCATCTCGGGATAGCCTCATTTCCTCCGCGAGATATCTACGGCTGTCAGACCTGGCTTAGTTACCAGTCCGAGCCATAGACAGTTTCGTCTGTACCATTTCCAGTGATATGATTGGTCGAGACAAAACCAAAACACACTGATGTGGCCGAGAGAGGATTGGGACGATACTTTTTCCTCTTGGCTTTTCGTGGCGGCCATGTGGTAATGCGAGGGGAACAGTTGTGCCTAAATCCCACCGGCTATAATGAATTTTAGGTCAAATTCACTTAAAACTTGTTACTACGGTTTGCTTCACATTTTACTTTTTCTGCACTCCCAATTAGTCTTACACGCCTTTGAACCGCTTTTTTCAAGAATTCGTTTCCAGGCCTAGAAATGACTGCTGGCTAGAGGTACAGCTTGCATATTTAGTCAAATTTGCCCAATTTTTACAGCGGTTGCTTCATATTGTACTTTTCTGCACTCCAAATAAGTCTAACAATCCTTGGAATCACATTTTTTCATGAATACATTTACATTTTGTTTTTTCTTATTTAGTCTTAAACCTCTAGCTGGTAGGATCTTTGGAGGCTTAGAAATACTTGAAGTACAGCTTGCATATTTAATTGACTTTGCCCAATTTTTATTACAGTCTGCTTTGCATTTTACTTCTTGGCATTCCATTTTAGTCTTATACTAAATTAGAATCACTTTTTTCAAGAATATCTTCTTGTTCCCTGGTCATGTACCTACCACTGCCCATTTGATGGTGCAGCACACAAGCCATGAGCATCAAATGACTCTTTATAGGGAATCAGCTGAAACTAAAGGACATGTTCCCCTTTTGGGAGTAGGCATTATTAAGTAATAAGTAAAGGGTTTCTGGTTGGTGTTCAAATAAGAAAGGTTTGATTTCTTCTTGACAAAAGCAATTGTTTTTAACAAAAATACAGTAAATAATACAGGCACAGGTTAATCTCATATATTTATTGTATAAATTCTATATATATATATATAAAGAGAGAGTAAAAAAACCATTTTATATTTTCAAGAATAACTTGCGTTAAGGTTTTCATATAGTCATACATGCTCTTAAATATCATTGAAAATTCAAAAGGAAAATATCAATTTGGTGAATTGAAATCATGTTATCCTATGACTACCTAAAGATTACTTGATTTTAGTATTTCAGGCAATAGTTGGCCTTGTCAACAATAATTCTAATCAAACACAAATATCATGAAAATAGAGACTGCTCCTTTCAAAGAAATCCCAATCATACTCAGTATGCAGAGTATTACATGACAAACTTCAGTAAATCTGGTTAACAAGTTCAAATCAAAATGAACTTTTTGTCAAATTCATCTAAAACTGGTTTGATTTGAATTGAAATAAATCCACAACCAAAAAAAATACAAATCAGACTAGTTTAAAATTTATTTACTTAAGAGTCATTTAAAACATATCAGTGTTAATGATTTCAAGCTTACTTCAGACACATAAGCAAGCTGCCCCTGTGGCTGATGGTGTTTTCTGAGTAATCCTAGATCCTACAAGCCAGATGAACAAGACTGCAAAGCATGAAAATATAGCTATACGGGGGTGACTCCACAACAGTACGAGACTAACATGGAATTTACAAAGGTTTTTCCATAAATCAAAAAGTAAATGAAATGAACCTAATTCACATCAAATGCACAAAGTACCCCTGGCCTGTAGTATTTTCTAAGTTGATTAAATATGTAAGCTGTACCTCTAGTATTTTCTAAGCCTACTAAGATCCTAAAAGCTAGAGGTACCAAATTTAAAAAAATGTAAATGTATTCATGGAAAATGTGATTCCAAGGAGTACAAGGCTAAGTTGGAGTGCAGAAAAGTCAAATGTGGAGCAAACCTTAGTAAAATTTGGGCAAACTCGCCTAAATATGCAAGCTGTACCTCTGGCCGGTAGTATTTTCGAAGCCCCCTAAGATTCTACCGGCTAGAGGTACAAGACCAAATAATAGTTGAAGTGAAATGGAAACTTATTCTTGAAAAGTGATTCAAAGGGGTGTAAGACTAATTTAGAGAGCTGAAAAAGTAAAATGTGAAGCAAACCACAGTTACAATTCAGTAAGTCGACTAAATACGCAAGCTGTACCTCTAGACGGTTGTATTTTCTAAGCCTACTGAGATCCAACTAGCAAGTGGTACAAGACAATAGAAATTTCATCTTGGGATCTTTCCAATCAGAAGCACTATAAAAAGGGCTATATAGTGGCGATACTATTCATAAGTTTTGTTTACCTTTGCAAACGTAGGTCTTAGCGGCTACGGTGTTAAGAACAAGAAACTTAAGATCGGCGAGGGTGAAAGAAACAGCCAAACGAAATTTCTTTGCAATTGATTTAAACTCCATGATGTATTTTTCATATGTAAAGCATGTAATAATGTTCATGTCTGGTTGAAGGTTCAATCACGTCGCTTGATTGTTGGCAACACAGAAATAGTCCGCCATATTAGAATAGCCGATTATCACCCGACTCGGAAACTCGTTACTAGTGCTCCTCGGATGTACCTCCCAGCCGGCAGGATTTAGACGCATCCGGGAATTAGTCTCCGAAACAAAACAATTAAGACAGTATTAATATTTAGCAAGCTTTAATAAAAAGAGAGTGAATAATTAACATAATAAACAGTCGATTCTAAGAATAGCTAGCAAAACACAGACACACAAGGCGCCATTGTTTTTTCGTGTCGGTGACTACGAAGGAAGCTTTCTGCTCCCTCGCCTTCGATGGATGTTGAAACGTTTCTCCACAATCTCCGTGCTCGGGTATGTTGTACTATCTGTAAAAACATATTCACGGACCCAAAACAGCTCCCGTGTCTCCATGATTTCTGTCTACAATGCTTGGAACGTCGGCACGAAACAAGCCATGGTCGAGACACAATCAAATGTCCGGATTGCCAAGCTCTTAGCACAGTGCCCGATAGTGGCGATTTGAAAGATCTACCGACCAGTTATTATCTGAACGGCTTGATTGATATTTTAGCCATTAAAGAGCGAAAAACCAGCCAAGTACGGTGTGGAAATTGCGACAAGAAAAGCTCTCAGAGTTTTTATTGTTTCCACTGTTGCATTTTTTATTGCCAAGAATGCGTCAAGGGACACAACATCCTTCGAAGCAACAAGGATCATCGTGTTCTGGCGCTCAAAGATTTCCAAGACAAGGACTTTGAGGATGTGTTGAAACGACCTTCTTTCTGTCCACAGAAGTGGCACGAGAAAGAAGAGCTGAAATATTTTTGCAAGAAATGCGAGATGGCAGTTTGCCAAACCTGTGTTGTGATAGATCATGCAGGTCACGCTTTGGTGAGCATAGATGAAGAAGCTGAAAGAAGAAAGATTGAAATCGAATCACTGCTTAAAGCACAGAAACGCAGTTTACAAGAAAAGATGAACGCTCTTGATAAAATTGATGAAGAATGTGCTAAAATAATAAAACATCGCGAAGACGTGAAAAGAGATGTTCAAAAGTTTGTGGATAAGTTAATTGCAACTATTGAATCGAAGAAGGAAAATATCATAGCGGCAGTAGAAAACGAAGCAAACGAAACTGTAATCGCGCCAAAGAAGGAGATGGAGAACCAGCTCGCCTCATTAGAATCATCATTAGAAAGAGCTGAGAAACTGTTATCGCAGGGTGCTGATATCGATGTCGTTCAACTGAGTCAATTTATGGAGTCCATGCTCTTCGACGAGGCTGATCAGTTACAGCCAGCAGACCGTGATCTTGACAGGCTGTCTGCTATGGTTTTCGTGGGAAATGAAAGTTTATTGGAAACTATCAGCACCGAAGGAATAGGAACATTGCAATCATGAAAACAACACCAAACATTACGACAGTCTGTCGCTAGAATAAAACAAAGCGTTAACAACAAGGCTTGTTATTTGGCCGTGCGATTTTTTTGTCTGGGATTTTCTTATTTGTACTTACGGAAATCTCAGCGAAACATTTTCCCCGTTCGATAGCAAGTATATGAGTAGGTCTGGTTGTTAGAGATTCGATTGAATTGGTTTATTATGATCACGTTTCGTTTACACGTTTCATGCATGTTCTAGTTGGCCATCTATACAGTGTTTTTATGTACAGGTAACTGTTTTCGTAGTTCTCTTGTGGTGTTAAATACACCTAGCTTGTTTATTCCTACGATGATTATCATTATTGACCACTAATAGTTTGCGTGACGTTCAAAGGAGGAGAGTTTGTACTAAGAAAGGTGTTAAAAGGCAAACTATTGCGAAACTAAACTCCTCCAGGTCGGGTTTTATTTTCTATGCAAATATATTTTTTTTCGTATTGCAACATAATCCAATATATTTTAGCTTAGGCCATTCCCACAAGATGTTTCGTTTCCTATCGCCCTGCCGAACCACTGTACATTTGAAAAAGCTGAAGAAAGCTATTAACTTTCGAAATACCTTCTCTAGCCAGTGTAAATTTCAACTTAATTAACACTGAATGTCAAATTCATCGTAAAGGAGATAGGCACGCAAGACTTTCTTCTAAATAAACATTATTTACGTCTAATTTCCAGTTTGCATATTTTACAGGGGATGTTAGAGTTACGAAAATAGTGAGAAAAATAATGCCTTATTTTGATCAAATATGAGTTTATGTCTTAGCATTATTTTGTGGGTTGCCGAGAACAATTTCGCCATTTCGCATGTTTGGACAAATTTTAATCGCCTTAAACGTCGGTTAGGGAGCTCATCGACTTCACAGCGGCTTTGGATTAAAAAAACCCTCAGTTCATCTCTTGGATTAACTGATCGTGCTTTCAGGAACAAAAATTAAACAAATGCTGAGTTTTGTCATCGGATTCACCTCAGTTAAACTTCTACGGCTTTTCAGGGGCCGGAGCCGGGTCTGCCGTCTGTTTTCTTCATTTTAAGGTGATTCCTCAGGAAAAATAGTTAACGAACACTCGATCGGGTGCTAATCACGCGCATCATTTCATCGGTTCACGGTAATTTTTGCGGTGGCTGGAAGCAAGGGTTTTTAAAGTAACACTTGAAAATAACTTGATTGGTTGAAAGTCTCGAGTGTACGAAACAATTAATGTATAATTTGTAGAGAAATCACGCAATTTTAGACGACATCGATACAAAAAGTTCGGCTCGTTGCTTTCAAGGTCATAATTTGCATTCCTCGAGTAATGGGCTTCGCACACGCTTTTGGCTATATCCATTTTCCCTTCAAGTTGGTTTTTTACTCACTCAATTCAAAGGGGATGATTTGTTCAACAAATTTATGCGATAAAAAATATGGTCGATCGTCCTCGCGGAAGAGCTGAAGACCATTGTACCTGGTCCATTGATTGAAAAACAATACCTTGTTCTGGGAATGCGCGCAAGGGTCTTCGCCTGATTACGTGATTTTCATGCGCAGTTAAGGATGCGTAGTGCTGTACGAGCAATCATATTATCGTTCTAGATAATTTTCAGTTTCATTCAGCAAGAATGCTTATAGCAGGGTCATGAGGATCAAGCGAGACAATTTGATTGACGTACAAGCTTTAAAAACAACAGATTAGGTTAGCGCTGATTCCAAGAATTGCTGATTAACCCTTTAACTCCCAAGATTTGATTGTCAATTCTCCCCTGTAGCTGCAACACATTTCCTTGTAAATTAGTTACGAGAATTTAATGTTTCATCTAGATGACAACTTCAACCTGATAAGTCTGAGTATTCTCATTACCTTTTCACTTGATAATATATGGATATTATGGGGAGAATTTGCGTGTTAATCACTTCTGGAGTAGAAGGGCTAAAAAAAACTCTCCAGGCTTCATGGTTTCAAATTGACTGATTCCTCGAAAACACTACTTTGCACACTGGCGTCTAAGAACGACATGGATATCAAAACGTTGCTTCATAACCTTCGCGAAGAAGTTTCGTGTTCAGTGTGTACTACCATATTCACGGATCCGAAACAGCTCCAATGTTTACACAGTTTCTGCCTGAAGTGCTTGAAGCAATGGCACAGAACAAGTCATGGCCAAGACACAATCAGATGTCCGAAATGCCAAGTTTTCAACAAATTGCCGGAAAGTGGCGATCTGAAAGATCTACCAACCAGTTTTTACCTGAACGGCCTGATTGATGTATTAGCCATTAAAGAATGTAAAAACAGTCAAGTACAGTGTGGAAATTGTGACAAGAAAAGCTCTGAGACATCTTATTGTTTCCAGTGTTGCATATTTTATTGCCAAGAATGCGTTATTGGACACAACATCATGCGAAACAACAATGATCACCGTGTTCTAGCGCTTAAAGATTTTCAAGAAAAGGACTTTGAGGATGTGTTAAAACGACCGTCCTTTTGCACAAAGCAGCGACACGAGAAAGAAGAGCTGAAATATTTTTGCAAAAATTGCGACGCGGCAGTTTGTCAAACTTGTGTTTTGATGGACCACGCAGGTCACACCTTGGAACACTTAGAAGAAGAAGCTGAGAGGCAAAAGATTGAAGTCAAATCACTGACTGAAGAACAGAAACGCAATTTACAAGCAAAGATGAACACTGTTGGTCAGCTCGAAGAGGAATACGCTCGATTGATTCAACAAGGCGAAGACGCGAAAAGAAATGTTCATAGATTTGTCGAAGACGTGATCGCAGTCATTCAAGCCAAGAGGAAAAATACTATTGCAAAGGTTGAAAGCCAAACAAAAGCATCCCTTCAAGCTTTAACAGCTGAGAAAACGGAGACTGAGAGTCAAATAAAGAGCATTGAATCAACGCTGGCAAAAACCAACGAGCTTTTGACGAGAAGTACAAACGTTGATGTCGTTCAACTAAAGAAGTCATTGTGCGCGATCATTGCGACTAAAAATGAAAACCAACCAATTACGCGTGACCCGAATAAATTTCCTGCTGCAGTTTTCATGGAAAATCGAAAGGTGCTGGATACCGTCAACTGCGAAGAAATTGGAAGTGTAATAAGTGCATACGACAAAACGGAAGCAGGAATGTCTGTTACGGAGGGCAAAGAACTGAGCGAAGCTTTTGTAGGACGTGAGGTAGAGTTTGTTTTGGTCACGAAAAACGCTCAAGGACAGCAATGTTATTTTAAACATGACAATGTAACAGTAGAGATCGCTGACGAAAGACATTTAAAATGTGCCACAGACGTGCGAATAAACAACAATGAAGACGGACACTATCAGATCAGCTACTTTCCAAGAGATTCAGGCAGATTCAAGGTGACAGTCAAAGTAAATGGAGAACAAACCCTCGGAAATCCTCTGATTGTGCAGGTAAAACAGTTTCAGTTAATACCAATTTCAACTTTTGGAACTTTCGGCTTGGATGTTGGAATGTTACATAAGCCTAGTGGTTTGGCAGTAAGTGCTAGTGATGAGATAGCTGTAACCGATTCTTTGAACCACAGAGTTCAAATCTTTAACGCTGATGGACTTTTTTTAAGATCTTTTGGTCGACAAGGTTACGGAATGGGAGAGCTTAACACACCAAAAGGAATTACATTTCACAAAAATGGGAATATTTTTGTGGCAGACAGAGATAACCATAGAGTCCAGATTTTCAGTGGAGAGGGTGAATTCCTGAGAAAATTTGGCGGAGAAGGAAGCCTCGATGCTCAGCTCCTTTATCCCCGCGGTTTATCAGTGGATAGTGATGGTAATATTCTTGTTACTGATGTAGGTAACAAGCTAATCAAAATCTTTTCTCCTGAAGGAAAGTTTTTGAGAAAGTTTGGTGGGCACGGCTCTTTAAATTTTCCCGTCCACTGCGTTCAATATGATAGATATCTCATAGTGTCAGACAAAGGCGACCATTGTATTAAAGTATTTGACCAGAATGGAACCTTTCAGTACAAGTTTGGAAAGCAGGGGGGAGGGGACGGGGAGTTTCAAGATCCCTTCGGTTTGTTTGTGAACAAGTCAGGACACCTGATGGTCTGCGATGCACGTAATCACAGAGTGCAGGTGTTTGAATTGAGTGGAAAGTTCGTTGGTAAATTTGGAACAAAAGGCACTGGTCCTGGAGAATTGAATACTCCAAGATCGATTTCAGTGCTAAATGATGGCCGCATTATTTTGTGTGAGCTGAGAAATAATCGCTTTCAGCTACTCACGTTTGGTGACAAAACTCCAGCTGCCTCAAGCAGAGATGACTCGGTCTGATTGGTGCCGAAAGAATGAAAGAGGATGAGTTGAAGGAGGAGTATGCTCCAGAAAC